GTAGCCCAAGTAGGAATAATACCAACAAACAAAAGACCCAACAGTACTGTGAACAAACTTGACCTTACAAATATCTGTGGAACCACATCCATCAGTGGTACAGCACACTCTTCAAGTACAAATGAACTTTTGTGCACAGGCTGTAGTGTAGGCTATGTGAAAAGTCAATAAATTTAAAAGGATTAAGAATATACAGCATGGTCTGAGGATATAGCTAGTGATAGAAAGCTTACCTAGCATGTATAAGTCCTACGTTCAATTCCTAGTACTGCCTAAAGAAAAAAAAAATAAAGGAAAAATTATATAAAGCCTCTGAATATAATAAAATGAAATTAGAAATCAATAATAGAAGACAGTATGGGGGAAAATTAGCAAATATGAGAATATTAGTGAACACACTCCAAGTAGCTAGTAGGTTAAAAAGAAATCACAAAGGGATTAGAAAATACCTTGAAAACATACCAAACTTTATAAGATGGTAGTGTGCTTAAGAGGGATGTTCAAGAAGAAATACTCTCAAATCAGGAAAATAACATCCTACTCTAGAGACTTGAACCAAACCTCAGACCAGTAGAGAAAGAAAGAAAAATAGAGAAAAGGAAAGGAAAAAAAAAGAGATTAAAAGTAGAGGAAATCCATGCCTTTAATTCAGCACTCGAGAGGCAGAGGCAGGCAGACCTCTGAGTTCAAGGCCAGCCTGGTCCACAGAGTGAGTTCCAGGACAGCCAGGACTACACAGAGAGAAATACTCTCCAGAAAGACCAAAAAAAAAAAAAAAAAAAAAAAAAAAAAAAAAAAGAAAAGAAAAAGAGGAACTCAACCAAAAGTTGGTTATTTGAAAATATAGCTAAATTAACAATAGTTGGATAGAGTCATCAAGGAAATAAAAGAGATCAAATTATTAAACAACAGAGAAAATATAAATAAATAAAAATAATTATAAGATAATACCCTGAACATTTGTTTGCTAATGAGTTAGACAATTTAGTTAAAATAGGTAATTTTCTGGGAAGATAGAAATTACCAAAATAACTTAAAAAATGATAGAAAATCAGGTAAGATGTTTAAATTTTTAATTAGAAAAAATTCCTGAAAGGAAAAGCACAGGCTAGATTGCTTTATTGGTAAATCCTGACCATTGAAGAAGAAGTCATACAAATTTGTTAAGAAACCATAGAGAGAACACTTCACATTTCATTCTGTGGTCCATGATACCTGTCTGTAACAAAGCAGGCACAGGTATAGGAAAGCTGCAGTCAGTGTCCTTTGGATAGCTGGCAAAATTCTCAGCATAATACCAGCAAATAGAAGTTTTAGCAGGACAAAAAAAAGAATTTTACTTTTTATCCTTGAAATATAAGTCCAACAAAACACTATAACTTAGGGTTCTTCCTGTGCCATGCAAAAGAGGCCAGTTGATCACATCATTTATTTATTTTAGATACTAGGTACCGTCTTGGTGCTAAGTATATATTGGTGAGGACAAAAATAATCCTCTCTCTCTTTTTTTTTTTTTTTTTTTTTTTTGGTTTTTTCGAGACAGGGTTTCTCTGTGTAGCTTTGCGTCTTTCCTGGGACTCACTTGGTAGTCCAGGCTGGCCTCGAACTCACAGAGATCTGTAGATGTAACCAACCGTCTTATTAAATAAGAAACACAGAAACAATGTAAAAGAGAAAGCCGAGAAGTCAGAGCTCAGAGCTAAAATCTCACCCTTCCTCCTGCTGTCCCAGCTTCGCGAAAAGAGACCTACTTCCTGTCGGTTCGTTTTTTTAAAGTATGTTGTTCTGCCTTCTCATTGGTTGTAAACCCAAACACATGACTGCCTCGTCACTGTCTGAATGTACAGCCCCCTAGGTCTTAAAGGCATATGTCTCCAATGCTGGCTGTATCCCTGAACACACAGAGATCTTATGGGATTAAAGGCGTGTGCCACCACCGCCACACTCTTGCTATGGCTCTAATAGCTCTGACTCCCAGACAACTTTATTTATTAACATACAATCAAAATAATAATTCAGTACAATTAGATTATCACCACAGAGATCCACCTGGCTCTGCCTCCCGAGTGCTGGGATTAAAGGCGTGTGCCACCACCGCCCATAATCCTCTCTTAATGAGGCTTCTTTGAGCTATTCACATTGGAAACAGAACCACTCAAATGAAAAGAGAGTTATTGTGATAGGCGCTGTGAAGACTGTGGTCAAGGAAGTTGACATAGTCAGGCATTTGAGGATGCTTTTCTGAAGTGGTCATTGAGCAAATCCCTGAATACGGAATCATTACTTGTCATATACAGTAACCTCTGACCCAGTTATTATGATGTTGTGGATTGAACCCAGGACTTTGAGCACACCAGGCATGTACTATACATCCCTAACCCTCAGTAGTTCCCTATTAGCTGTGGTTAGTGGTTTTAGTTATCTGAGACTGATTATAGTTCAAAAATATAAAATGGGAACTTATAGAAATGAAGAATTCCCAAGTTTGAATAAAGTCATCTGAGTGGTGTGATGATTTCTCATACTGTTATCCTGGACACAATAGGGCAACCATGCTATCTATACTAGCTGCCTGTTAATCATTAGTAGCATTCCCAGTGACCAGGTGACTCAGCCTAATATCACACTCTTGTGTTCAGGTAACCCTTAGTTCATGTAATAGTTTCCAAAAGCACAAGAGTAGTGATACGGACAATTTGGATAGGCTACAAAAAGCTTCAAACTGCAACCCTTTAAGTAAAAAATGAAGGCAGAATAAGATATTTGAGAGAAAGAGGGCCCTATTGGTATGACTTTTGTAACAGTACCTATCATTATAACTGTTCTATTTTAGTTATTATTACAAACGTCTTGCTGTGCCTGGTTTACAAATAAACCACCTCATAGGTGTGCATGCACAGAAAAATACAGTAGACATTTGGTCAGTACTGTCTGCTCTCAGGCGGCCCCTGGAGCCTTGGAACAGTTCCTTGTGGAGCAGAGGGTTTCTGGGTTCTGAGGCTGTGAGTCTGTCTGTCCTGTCTATCCTGCATGCTCTGCATTCGTAAGCATCCTTTCACTAGTAGTGACCTCATCAGCTTTTAAATAAGCTTACGTTTCCTCACATTAAAAAACCCCAACTCCTCTTTGACCCCTCTGATTTCCAACTGTTTTTCTTTTTCTCTCTCCCTTCTTACCACGGAAAGGATTTCCGAAGTTTTTGTTTCCATTTATTCATCTTATACTTGACCAGAAAAAAAAATCCGGCTTACCCCTTCTCCAACCTGTTTCAGTTGGGTTACAGCTGTACTGGAGCTAAAGACGTTTCTTTAAAGTTGGTAATGACCTCCGTGCCCAGTGGACACTTCTTGGTCCTCATTTTGCCTGGCCTTGTGTGGCATTGAACATAATTGACAATTCTCCTGGAAACATTCTTTTCATGATATTGTGCTCTCCAGTTTTCCCTTTTCTTTTGTTCTTTTTAGTTGGCAGAGAGGCTGCGGCTCCTGCAGGCTGTTTTGGGCACTTCTCCCTTTCCATCGAACGCTCTAAGTGCGAGTTTCAGACAGTGCCTGCAAATGATTCCCAGACTTACCCTGGCTTTGCAGTAGTGTGTTCGGCTGCCTCTCCCATTTCCTTCCCTCCATTACGCACTCTTTGCTCATTTTCACGTATTCATGTGAGGCCTGTTACTTTCCAGGCACCCTGCTGGTGCTAGGGATGACTCTTGTCTCCTTGGTGGAATTCGAACAAGCGGTGATTTCCTCACTCTCTCTGCTAACAGTGAGCAAGTATGCAAGCAAACAAACAAGACAGTCGTAGAACAGCTGCAGTCTAAATGGCCTTGACCTCCATTATTCCCACCAAGCACTGAAATCCACCCACTTCTGTTAGTTTGAATCCTTAGACTTAATCTTGACTCCTGCTTTTATTGGAGGAGTTGAGTGAGTACCGTGTAACCTAGCGTGGTGTCCTAAGGCCTGGCTGTTCTACCTACTAAGGAGCTTTCCTACACTCTATCTAGCATTCCCCGTTCACTGCTAATGCCATCACGTGACTTCTGCGTTAGGTTTATTGGTCTTGACTGCATTTACTCTTGACTGTCTTCTGACAGCTTGCCATGTGACTGCAAGCAGGGTTTAAAAAAATGCTCTTTCAATTTTCTGTCTCAGCTTAAAAATAGTCTTTATTTATTCATTTTCTCTGTGTGGAGTATGTGTGTGTGTGCACATGCATGTATGTGTGCACACTCACCCATGCTCATGCAGGTGGAGGTCAAAGGTCAACATTGGGTGAGAGCCTTTACGGCTGTCCATCTTACCTTTCGAGATGGTCTCTTAGTGAACCCGAAGCTTGCGGATTTGTCTAGACTAGCTGACCGTGAGTTCCTCGGATTCCCCTGTCTCTGCTTCTCCAGTGTTAAGGTCACGGGTGTGTGCTGTCATACCTGGCTTCTGCATGGGTTCTCGGGATCTTACTCAGGCTCTCATGCTTGTGTGGTGATGCTTTCCCCAGGAAACCATCTTTATAGCCTCTTGCTTCAGTTTTATTGTCATGAAATTCTTATCTTTTGCTGTAGCATTATTTTAAGGATAGAAAGATTTGTTATATACAAAGAATTTTTTTTTTTAATTCTTCCTGAGATAGGGTTTCTCTGTGTTAACAGCCTTGGCTGTCCTGGAACTTGGTTTGTTGTCCAAGTTGGCCTCATACTCACAGAGATTCTCCTGCCTCTGCCTCCGGAGTGCTGTGATTAAAGGCGTGTGCCTCCATAGCCCAGCTTACACAGTACTTAAGAAATGTGAGGCACTAAGTCTTCAGTGAATTATTATCCTAGACTTTGTACAGTTGCACATTTGGCCGAGTGAAAATATGAAAAGACAGAGTTTATTAGTAATGGATTTGAATTGGGCAATTAATACCTTGTTGAGACTTAATGATGCTATATAAATTCACGATAAAATCTGCAGCTACTACAACATGTAACCTTATTATGTATGCTTTTCCCCCTTAATTAAAAGGCTAAGAAGCACCAGGCCTTCCTAGTAGAGACATGTGAAAATAACGTGAAAGAATTGGAATCGGTCTTGGACAGCTTTACTGTGTCAGCCCAGTGGCCATCAGGTTAGTTGAAGGTGTAAGATGACAGATGCATCTGTCAATGTTCCAAAGTCACTGCAGTTTGGGAATTCTGCAGATGCCTCTTCTAGTCCCTCATCTCAACATGCTTTGATCGGATGACATGACAAGAGCGGTTCTCACAGCAGTCAGTTGGCCTAGCTGGCTGGGAAAGGGTGACGGAGTGTGGACCTGCTGTTGGCCTCTCAGAACTTGATTTACAAGTGTGGAAGCCTGTGTGGTTGGACAGACAAGGGCTCACGTGCTGTGTTCTGAATCCAACTGAGAGAAGAGTCCTTACAGTATACCTGCAAGGGGAACAGATGTTTCCATCAAACTGAGCCAAGTTCCGCGGCAACCTTCAGCAACTTAAAGGTCATGCATTCAAAAGGTTATGTAGGACACAGGCCGGAGCAGTGCGCGTTCTACACTGCTGCTTTCTGAGCCGGTTCTCACATGTGCATATGTGTGCTCTGGAGATAACAGTGCCAGCTAAAATATTTTTGGTTTAGTATTAATCCACGTTAACATAATTAAGAACTAATAATATTAGGTAGAAATGCTTTTGGATCTAGCTAATAACCTCTGTTTACAGTTACTTTCTTAGTTTTTTTCTAGTTTTGCATCATGAGTGCTTACAGTAGCACTCCCTACCTGTTTCCTTTTGTCCCAGTTTATCTAGTTATTGTTATGATGTGATTATACTCTTTAAAAAAGGATATAACATTAAGTTCCCATACATATGTATGTTTAAGGCAATCAGAAGTGGTTTGGGAAGGGAGTTCTTTCGGAAACAGAATTTTGGGGAAGTTTGTTGTCCTTGGCCTGTGCTTTGACTTGTGACGTGCAGGTCCCTCAGCTGGTGAGACATTTAGTATGTGCTGTTGCTACTTTTTCAGTCTGCTTTTATATTTCATGTTTTTAGCTGTGATTTCATTAAGTTCACATATAACTTTTCATTCTTATATTTTAGTAGTGATTTAAAATAAAACAATTACGGGGGTTAGAGAGATGGTCCAGAGACTTAAGTGCCCTGGCTACTCTTCCAGAGGACCTAGATTCAGTTCCCAGCACCCACATGGTGACTAATTGTCCATAACTCCATTTCCACACATACAGAAATAGACTTACACAATAAAATAAATCAATCTTAAAAGAATTAAAGTCGTTGTACATTGTATGTGCACAGCATATGCACACACACCACAGTGTGTCAGTGAAAGTCAGAGGACAACTTGTGAGATTTTTACTTCTCTTTCTACCATGTGGGTCCCTGGGATAGAACTCAGATCCTTAGGTTTGGTGGCAGGTGCTTTTACTTGCTGAGCTATCTGGCTGGCCCCAGTAACTACGTTCTTAAACCTGAAGTTTCTATATACATGAGTACACTATACATTTAGGAGATGTGCTGCCAGATGGGGACCGTGTACTCGACTGATGATCTCGTATAGAGACATTGCTGTTTGAATAGTTTGTGATGGTTAGTTGCTCTTTTGTCTTTGTAGATTCATTCTCCTCTGGTGCTTGTTTTGATTGTGCTGTGTGAGGCTGACTTCCATCATTTGGGCACCTTTGCTGTCTGGCTTCCTATTCAGTTTGGACAGTAGGATGGTGGGAGAAGTCAGGATAGTAGTTCTTCTCGCCTTCTGCTCTGGAGCACCCAGGAAGTAGCGGCTCCTTTCAGTGGCTGCGTCTTGTACCAGATAGCCTTTGTCTCATGGGTGGGACTCTTGATAGGTGGTGGTGACAGTGCACCTTCCACTTGACCCTTTAAGCTTAGACGTGGTGTTGGTTTTCAGCTTGTCTTTATGGTCTGTCATGGTAAATGTCATGCTTGCCTCCATTTCTGTTCATAATCTCTTTGATAGATTATCTTCTGGTGAACTGCTGTGAGGGTGCATTTCCCACTGACTCACATACCTATTTGGGATTTGTTTCATCTCTGTATTATTACTATTATTATTGATTCTGTTTCTGCTTATACTAGCCCAGGTTGGATTGCTGTTATTTATTTTTTTAGTTAGTCTGCTTTTTTTTTTTTGAAACAGGTTTTCTCTGTGTAGTCTTGGCTGTCCTGGATCTCTCTCTGTAGATCAGACTGGCCTCAAACTCATAGATATCCACCTGCTTTTGCCTCCCAAGGTGTGTGCCACCACTGCCTGGCAGTTTTTTAAATTTAAATGTCTAACATTAAAATGGAGTAGTTGCTTATTAGATATTGAGCTGTTCTCAGTAATTGCTGTCAAATATTAAGTAATTCCATTGTTTAATGTTTTACAGAGAATATGACCCATTAAATCTATCCTATACTATTTTGAGGACATATATGTTACATCCCTAAAAACTGTGTATATCTCTCTAGGTGTACGAATCTTTGAGAGAAAGTCTATTCAAATCAAAGCATCTTCTCTCACCTCATGATGGTGGCACATTCTTAGAGCGTATAACAAATTGTAACCGGTTAGCCTGGGAAGAGTTCCCAGAGCCCCTGGTTGTCGCTGTAAGTCGGCAGTGGTTCTGCCTACTTTCTCACCTCTCTGCACCTTTAAACTCAGTACATGCCCTGCTTCTACCTGGATTTCAGGAAAAGTAATCTGTAGTTGAGACATAGAGGTGAGGTTACATGATTTGTTTAAAACTTCTCTTTCAAGTGAAATGATTGGGTTGGTGAGACGGCTCAGCAGGTAAGTGCTTGCTTCAGAAGTCTGAGACCTGAGTTCAACCCCTGAAGTCCACACTGGAGGAAGATGCTCCCAGCCCTCCTGTGATCTCCACACATGTGCTGTGGCCTGTGCCTGTCCCCCCACATGAATAATAAATAGAAAAATTAAAATGAAATGATTGAAAATTATTTCCATGACTTGATCTTAGTCGAGAACTGACAGTAGTTGCCCGGTGATTTAGTTTGGTGCCTGTGTATGTTAGGAAGTGTTCTGAAGTCAGTGTAACCCTGAGTTTGTCTTCAGGTGGCAAATGATCGCGGTTGAGCTAGTCCAGGGATGCTCAGGAGTTTCTGTACATGTCGGATTACCTCTGTTTTCTCATCAGTGTGGTGTTCCAGCTCATCCCCCAAGGTCTCTAACACCTCTCTGACTGGGCACTAATCTCTGTGCTTCCATAGTCCTTTTCAGTGTGCTTTCTTGACTGACAGGGAGATGAGTGAGAGACCCAAGCCCTAAACTTTCCCTGAAATGACGAGACAGTTTTGGGGCTCTTAATCTAAAGCCTCATAAGTCTGGTCAGTAATAATCCGTTGTATATTTGAAATTTGTGAAGAGATTCGATCTTAAGTGTCCTCACTGCCCTCCCCTGTCCACAAAATAGTCATTATACGTAATGATGGCCGTGTTAATTAATGTGATTGTGAGAGTCACTTCATAGTGTGAACATACAACAAATCATTGTATAACCTGAACTCACAGTCAGTTGTTCCTCAATAAGGCCAGAAGATAACAACAAAAACTTGTTAGAGCATGGATTTCCTTTGCTCTAAACTGCCCAGGCTTTCATTTCCCATAGAAGTCAAAGTGCTAGCCATGACCAGCTCCATCCTTTCTTACCCACTGACCTCACTTGCTACTAATGTCCTGCTCGGGTTCGGGTCATCCAGCTTCGCGCTAGCTCGTGAACACCCCAGGCATTCTCTTGCCTTAGCAGTCTTTATGACGGGCATTCTTTTGGATGGAGAGTTTTTGTTGTTACTTTTGTTTTGGTGGAGTATATCTCCGTAGCTCTTTCCTACTGTTCTTAAGCCCATAGTCAAGTGTCCATTAAACCCCTCCCTCTGTGTAGTCCCCTGTTTTCTGCCCCCCACCACTCCTTTTCTGCTGAACTTTTTTTGTGCCAGATCTCCTATTATTGCCACACATTTCTGACACACTATTTAGTGCATTTCTTACTATATCTAAGTTGTCTCTTATTCACTAATGTATAGGGCAGTGTGTGGCACAAAGTAGTCACTCAAAAAACTAATGACTATGAATAAAAACATAAATGATTAAGAGAATGTTGAAGTCTGTTTTAATTTTGTTGTTGTTCTGAGGCAAGGTCTCGCTGTGTAGCCCTGGATGGCTTAGAACTTGCTATGTAGACCGGGCTGGCCTTGAACCTCACAGAGATCTGCCTGCCTTCCAATTTGGGAATAAAGGTGTACACCACCATGGCTGGCTCTGTTTATCATTTTAATTTCTGTAGTTATCAGTGTAGTTATGAAGTCTCTCTAAATTATAGTCTCTCGGAGCCTTTGGCAAATAGTCACTGGGAGGATTTTCCCTTGAGTGGAGTTGCACAGTTCTTGATGCATCATAGAAATTTCTCCATGATTGCTCACTTTGTTAGACAAGGAAGGTTCCCTGTGTAATCAGGGACCTTTGTCTCTACTTCCTACCTGCTACTGATACTGGACTAGTACTGCTTAAATCTTGCTTGCTTCCCCTGATGAGGATCAAGGGTTGGAGGAGGGTCATTTCTGCTTTGAGCCCATGCAGTCTTCTGCCTCAAATACAATGTTTCTTCTAATACAGCATGTGCAGTGCTCTAAAGCTGGCAGACGTTGGGATGTGACTGTTTCTTCAGGAGATTTTCCTTGTGGTTCAGCCTTCAATCCTCAGTGTGGTAGACTTTTCCTGAAGGCTTTCTTTGAGGAAATACTTTGTAATACTGTAGAAATACTACTTTTTCTTCTACTTGGAGAGACTAAAGAACCCATGAAAATAATAGTCATGGGTGTGTGAGGGGAGACTAGAGACATGGCTTTGTGGTTATGAGCACCGCTGCTCTTCCAGAGGACCTGGGTTTGATTTCTGACACCCACATGGCAGTGGATGGCAATTTGGAGAGCCAGTTCTGGGGGATCTGATGCCCTCTTGTGGCATCCACTGGCACTGCAGTCATGTGATACACACACAAACCACATTCAAATAAATAGCCACAGAGTTGGATGCTTTTAGGCATATGAATGCCACCTAGGAACTGATTGGGCAGTCTGAGGGAGTGCTTTTAGGAAT